GGGGGAGGGAACTGACAGTCATAAGGAAGAGAGAAATGTATGTTATGAAATCAGATCATAAGGGTTATTATGGGCGTCGCTGCGCCAAGCTTTTCTGTGTGTCAGTAATACACGGCAAACTGTGCAGGATGCTTTTTCTGTCCTAGAGTAATAATACATTTCTGCATGTTTAACCTTCTGCATGTAGGTCTCTCGAAGCTGCCAACTGTACAGCGAACTATGTATTCCAATAAAATAAAAAACCAACCTGTTTGTAACCATGTTTTTGTGTCCGTGTCGACTGTACTTTGCACCTGTACTGTGTGTGCCTCTGTATTACAGGAAAGAAAAATCAATTCAACAGTGTTTTGTCTTTAATTTTTGTTTAAAGGCCTCTGCATGCTTGGATTTGGCAGCGCCACTACCTAGCATGTGAGTGCACTGCACCCGAGTGTGTTTGGGTGAGAGCAACACTTCCATTGCTTTTATATCACCTGCAATTGAGACTTGGCTAAAGAGAGGCTTTTGACAACGTTCACGATAAGCAAACGAGCAGACCAATTAGGCAAATACATCAGGTGAGCGGAGGAAACCACAAACTCTTGTGGAATGCCCAGTCAGCACACACACCTTTCTATTAAACAGCACTGCCAGGCAGTGAGAAGGCTAGGATTGTTCCCCTACAGGGAACAGTCTAGTAGCAGGGTTATAGTTGTGCTGGTGGCTTGGATCAATAACGCAGTCGCAAACTTGATGGGTTGGCCTAGTTCAGACTAATGGGTTGCACTTTATTTTAATAGTCCATCTGTAGATGCGCTACAGACTATCAGTAACATTTCAACTATCTACTAACCCTAACCTTAAATCGTGTCCTAACCCTAAACTTAACCATAACCCTTATTCTAACCCTAACAAGGAGTTGCTTATCAACAGATCGTTTGTTGATAGTATGAGCATCTATAGATGGACTATCCAAATAAAGTGTGACCCAATCATGTTGTACAATTGAGTGGATTTGACACAAATTGTGATGGCATGGATATTTCATGTGTTTGTCAGCAAATTTTTTTTTCAAAACTTGTGGAGACACCAATCACATAGTTGTATAACCAGAGTGTGAATTAAGCCATTGATTGAACTCTGGAAAACTAGGTCACATGGGTCACAATGCAAAAATGGTTCCGGGGGATCACTGAGGACCATCAGTGAGGAGGTTAAGGCCTTGATTCAATCCGTAGCGCTGAAGATCTGCGCTATAGTAGGGCGATTGAAATTTTAAGGTAATTTCCCATTGAGACGACATATGCAGTGTTTACTGTAAATGCAGTCTTTGCGAACGAGGGAACATTGCCTTAAAATTTAAATCGCGCTGTAGCGTGGATCTTCAGTGCTACGGATTGAATCTAGCCCTAAATCAAGGCCTGTATCCGCAAAATATCTGAGATCAGGATATCGATATAATCGTATCAATTACGATCTGAAAGGCCAAACTGATCCTAGAGCAGTTTCATACTTAGACAATTTATGGATATGGTCACAGGTTAAAAGGTCTCATTCTAAACCATAATCTGTCACAAGGTGATGTACTAGGGAGGGACTTAACTGTGAACCCCTGAGCAGGGTTTCCCAAGAGATTACAGGCATGGGTGACCTAAATAGTATGTGTGAAGTCAAGCATGGAAATATATCATACTCTATGCAAAATGGTAATTATGCAAGTTGGTACAGAGAAAGAACTTCATTTCAACCACCAAGAGCAAAACGTTGAATATGAAAACCTTAGGGATATTTACTAAATTAAACTGCTAAGTTGTTAAACAAAACAAGTTACGTTTCCTGTATACAGATAGGATTTACGGTGTTTCAAGTGGATCCAGGACTAAAATGAACATAAGCTTACATAACTCTTGCAACATGTTAGTGCCTGCCTTTTGGCATCTACTGCAATTTGATCTCAAGGCTTTTCCATTAATTCTACTATCATCTTGACTTGGGTCTGAGTATCAATAGTGTAGGCCACGTGTCAAACTCATTCCACGGAGGGCTGAGTGTCTGCAGGTTTTCACTCCTCCCTTGTACATGATTGAGAAATTAAGGTCACTGATTAATAAGGAACTCCCCTCACATGGTTGTCTAGGTCTTAATTGAAAGGAAAAAACTAAAACCAGCAGACACTAGGCCCCCCCATGGAATGGGTTTGACACCCCTGGTGTCAACCGTCTTGGAGCTACTGTCACGTGACCAGTCTGGGTACATTTCCACCCTACCTGTGTTGTCTGTACAGGCTGCTGTGTGAGTCACATGGCTGTTGGAGATGTGTTCAGACACGCCGAAGGCAGCCTGCGTCAAAGCTTTGTGTAACAAATATCTTGCAAGCAGGGAGACATACACCTGCCAGTAAGAGAGGACAGTTCTGAACTCCATTGGAAACATTGGTGTATATACACTGCTCAAAAAAATAAAGGGAACACTTAAACAACACAATGTAACTCCAAGTCAATCATACTTCTGTGAAATCAAACTGTCCACTTAGGAAGCAACACTGATTGACAATACATTTCACATGCTGTTGTGCAAATGGAATAGACAACAGGTGGAAATTATAGGCAATTAGCAAGACACCCCCAATAAAGGACTGTTTTTGCAGGTGGTGACCACAGACCACTTCTCAGTTCCTATGCTTCCTGGCTGATGTTTTGGTCACTTTTGAATGCTGGCGGTGCTTTCACTCTAGTGGTAGCATGAGACGGAGTCTACAACCCACACAAGTGGCTCAGGTAGTGCAGCTCATCCAGGATGGCACATCAATGCGAGCTGTGGCAAGAAGGTTTGCTGTGTCTGTCAGCGTAGTGTCCAGAGCATGGAGGCGCTACCAGGAGACAGGCCAGTACATCAGGAGACGTGGAGGAGGCCGTAGGAGGGCAACAACCCAGCAGCAGGACTGCTACCTCCGCCTTTGTGCAAAATGACCTCCAGCAGGCCACAAATGTGCATGTGTCTGCTCAAACGGTCAGAAACAGACTCCATGAGGGTGGTATGAGGGCCCGACGTCCACAGGTGGGGGTTGTGCTTACAGCCCAACACCGTGCAGGACGTTTGGCATTTGCCAGAGAACACCAAGATTGGCAAATTCGCCACTGGCGCCCTGTGCTCTTCACAGATGAAAGCAGGTTCACACTGAGCACGTGACAGATGTGACAGAGTCTGGAGACGCCGTGGAGAACGTTCTGCTGCCTGCAACATCCTCCAGCATGACCGGTTTGGCGGTGGGTCAGTCATGGTGTGGAGTGGCATTTCTTTGGGGGGCCGCACAGCCCTCCATGTGCTCGCCAGAGGTAGCCTGACTGCCATTAGGTACCGAGATGAGATCCTCAGACCCCTTGTGAGACCATATGCTGGTGCGGTTGGCCCTGGGTTCCTCCTAATGCAAGACAATGCTAGACCTCATGTGGCTGGAGTGTCAGCAGTTCCTGCAAGAGGAAGGCATTGATGCTATGGACTGGCCCGCCCATTCCCCAGACCTGAATCCTGGGACATCATGTCTCGCTCCATCCACCAACGCCACGTTGCACCACAGACTGTCCAGGAGTTGGCGGATGCTTTAGTCCAGGTCTGGGAGGAGATCCCTCAGGAGACCATCCGCCACCTCATGAGGGTGACTCCAAATCCAGACCTCCATGGGTTGATAAATTTGATTTCCATTGATAATTTTTGCGTGATTTTGTTGTCAGCACATTCAACTATGTAAAGAAAAAAGTATTTAATAAGATTATTTCATTCATTCAGATCTAGGATGTGTTGTTTAAGTGTTCCCTTTATTTTTTTGAGCAGTGTATAATAACACAAAGCCCTCCAGCCACCCACTACCCTGAGCCCATGGTAAACCACACATGGAAATAACCCAGTGCCAACATTGAGAGCTATTTAATACATTTCCCAACTATAGTTAAGGCAAACCTCTCTATTGTGGTCCACCGTCCTATGCCCAGGGAAAATCCCTCTGATAATATGGTGGTATTGGTACTGAGCTATGTTCCCAAACTGCCCAGTGCAATTTCTCCATTGGTCTATCAGACCCCTACAATGGCGTTAGCTGCCAAAGCCCATCTCAGCCACTAAACACATACACGCTCCAGGGAGCAGGCCAATGGTCAGCAGGGTCAGGAAGAGGACGGGGAGAGTCAGCGCTACATAAACACTGAGGCCACCCAGGTCAGAGATGTGTGGCTATGTCCCAATTACCTCTCCTTCCTCCCAAAGTCTGCACTTGTTCACTTCCCTTTATTGATTTGAAAGGAAATGACTGGTATAATAAATATGGCGGAAACTCCCATTAGCCCTCCAATCCAATGATTTTAGATTTGTGGCAAGTAGTGAACGAGTGTACACTTATTGGGACGCACCCTCTGTGTGTGGACACTGGTCAGGAAGCCAGTCTCCTCCACTCAGAACCACCTGGGTTATGTTAACTAGGGATGAAATGGATGAAAGCTGAATGAAACACTGGAGGTACCATCTGAATTTGTTCAATAAGAAACTAGTTCTTGACACAAGATGGCAAGATGCATTTTATTTTATGTTTATACCCAAATGACAAAATATAAAAAAAAGTATGCAATGACGACAATAAAATATCAAAACAAGCTGTTAAAATAATAATTAACAAAAACATTCACAACTGGACTTTTTTTCTCAACATAATCATAATCTTTTTACATTTCAATACAAACTGCTATTTTCTTTGCTACTCTTCTCCGTATCCAACCCTACATGGTACAGGTCCTCTTCAGCAGGAGGCATACAACTAACAGCCATAAAACAATCAATACAATGCACTTGTAGGCTACAACATCGCAGCAACTAGCATCATTTCAATAGAAGATAAACTTGGTGTTGCTAGATAGCGGACCTGCCCTTAACAGTACAGTAGGGAGGGAGCAGCGCTTGATTGGCTGCCCTCTGTGTTTCACGATTCCATTGGCTGTTGTTCCTCCTCTTCAGCCCATCCATCTTTATTGCTGGGACAAGGGAACAAGGTCAGCCATGACACTAGTGTCATCCTACTGGGGTAGGAACTGGGTACCCTGCTCATAGTAGACCCTGGTTTAGGTCTGTCCATTCAAACAGGCCCTTCCTACCTTTATCCATGACTGATCACATCCTAAACAGCACTATGAGGTTAGCTAGCAGAGCCGGAAGGGAGACTGAACCAGCTGAGACTTCAATGGAAGGTTCCATCTAGCTGCATCAGCTATGAGGACTCACTGCATTGACTGTTGAGTGAGGAGGTGGTGGATGATGTCATATTAAAGGGGACAAGAACGGGCTAAGTAAAGTGCTGGTACTGGCTCGTCCTTTGAGAATGTACAGTGGGGTTCAACAGTTTTGTCCATATATTAGCATTGGTGGTGGTAAAACAAAAAACAAATGACAGGCCCATTCTTTACATCTAAAGAGTCTTCGTTAGCAGGAGTCACTGACATCACCTGAACATGGAAGGACATTGTAAAGGGAAAGGGGTCTAGACGCTGGGGGAGGGCTGAGGGGCAGCGGTGGGCATGGCCTGTCGGGGAAGGGTGTACATGGCGCCCAGAAACTGGTCTGCGATGCGTCCCGCCTCTCGCAGGCCGCTGAGCAGAGCACCATGCACCGTGGCCGGGTAATTCCGGATAGTGTGCTCCCCAGCGAAGAACAGACGAGGGACAGGCTGCGAAGGGGGGGAGGGAGAGAAACGACAAAACCATCAAAATGACAAACTCATCATCCCAAACATCAATTTGAGTGTTCCCATCAATCAGTGTGTCAACATCAGAACAACCCTAAAACATCTGTCGGGAACCACTCGGTTTGGTCAAATAATTGTGGGTTGGCTACGGAGGATGAGATTTGCACACATGCTCTGGAGGTTTAGTGAATGGGATCGGCCCAAAAGAAATATGAAACGTGCAGAGCGACTTTCTAGCGTGTGGTAATATTCAACATTCTCATTGGCTTAAAGCAATGGGCCGTTTAATGATTCAACAGATGGGGGTTATAGTCTTTGTTCATAAGGAAATGGTTTAAATATCAAGGTACCGTTTCCTAACGGGGACCAACTGTTTAAAAAAATATATATCCATATCTACTTTCATACTGTTTGTTGATCACACATTCCCTACCGAAGCTCTCATATTATGGGCAGCAGCACGAGCAGAGAAGCGGGTGAAATGTTACAGCGGTATTTTGACATGTATAGGCGAGACGTGCTTTGATAATGCAACCTATGGATTACAGAATAAAGTTAGGAATTTTCATGCGAGACAGGAGTCAGGATTTGGGGTTTCAGTCGGATTGGGACCATAGGAAAATAGCCTAGGCTATATATAAGGCTACTATGCGAGTCAATAAATACATCATACACTTGATTTAGGCTACATTGTTGCATGCTAAATGTTTCTGATCAGTGATCGATGAGCAAACGAATAAATAAGCTACCACTTCCACCTGTCCAGCCAGAGATCAATTAACCACATCTACAGACAGATTCAGTGAAACAAAATCACATCGATTGATTATCAGAGAAGTCACAGGCTTTTGGTCGGGAGTACTGAAGAACAAAATCCACTTGTATAACATGCTAGCAAAATGTTCTGACCAGCTAATATATGAGCAAACTAGAAAAGATTATCATTAGCACTCACCAGCTAACATTTCCCCAGCCTAATTGTTACCAAATTTCCAAACGGAGATTTATCTAGAGGAGTCCCCCACGATTGTCTCAAAGCAGCGCGATGGCGCTGTCCCAATCAAAACGGTGCTGAAATGATAATCTAGGTGACCACACACGACTATTGCTTTAAATTAATATAACATTTGGATATGACTTTGGGAATTTCAGTATAAGGAAGAATTTGACACATGCCTTCAATTGCATTAGCCAACTTTATTCCCGTATTTCCATCATTCAGTTGTTCATAACTAAGATGAGTTTTCCTCTCTGCACCTTTTCTATGCCCAATGGCTGTTTCATCTCCTCACTCTGCTGCCTCCCACCTCCGCCACGTTGTTCTCAACACCAGTTAAAATTAATACAGTGCCTTCAGGAAGTATTCATACCCATTGACTTTCTCCACATTTCAATTTTTTTCCCCTCACACATTTACACACAATACCCCATAATGACAAGGTGAAAACCTGTTTTTAGAAATATTAACTAATTTATTGAAAATGAATTCATATCAGTTTTCACACATCTGAGTCAATACATGTTAAAATCACCTTTGGCAGCGATTACAGCTATGAGTCTTTCTGGGTAAGTCTCTAAGAGCTTTGCACACCTGGATTGTGCAATATTTTCAAAATTCTTCAAGCTCTGTCAAATTGGTTGTTGATCGTTGCTAGACAACCATTTCAAGTCTTGCCATAGCTTTTCAAGCAGATTTAAGTCAAAACTGTAACTAGGCCACTCAGGAACATTCAATGTCTTCTTGGTAAGCAACTCCAGTGTATATTTGGCCTTGTGTTTAAGGTTATTGTCCTGCTGAATGGTGAATTCATCTCCAGTGTCTGGTAGAAAACAGACAACCAAGTTTTCCTCTTGGATTTTGCCTGTGCTTAGCTACATTCAGTTTATTTTTTATCCCAGTCCTTAAAAATTACAAGCAAACCCATAACATGATGCAGCCACCACTATGCTTGAAAATATGGAGAGTGGTAATCAGTAATGTGTTGTATTGGATTTGCCCCAAACATAACACTTTGTATTCAGGACAAAAAGTTAATTGCTTTGCCACATTTTTTGCAGTATTACTTTAGTGCCTTGTGGCAAACAGGATGCATGTTTTGGAATATTTGTGTTCTGTACAGGCTTCTCTTTTTTTTTCACTCTGTCAAATAGGTTAGTATTGTAGAGTAACTACAATTTTTTGAGCCATCCACAGTTTTCTCCTATCACAGCCATTAAACTCTGGTTTTAAAGTCACCATTGGCTTCAGGGTGAAATCCCCGAACAGTTTCCTTCCTCTCCGGCAACTGAATTAGGAAGGGTGCCTATATCTTTGTAGTGACTGGGTGTATTGATACACCATTCAAAGTGTAATTAATAACTTCACCATGATCAAAGGGATATGAAATGTCTGTCCTTCTTTGCGAAGCATTGGAAAATCTCCCTGGTCTTTGTGGTTGAATCTGTGTTTGAAATTCACTGCTTGACTGAGGGACTTTACAGATAATTGTATGTGCGGGGTACAGAGATGAGGTAGTCATTCAAAAATCATGTTAACATTATTATTGCACACAGAGCCCATGCAAGTTATTATGTGGCTTGTTAAGCAATTTTTTTGTCCTGAACTTTAGGCTTGCCATGACAAATGGGTTGAATAGTTATTGATTCAAGACATTTCAGCTTTTCATTAGTAATTTGTAAAAATTTCGAAAAACATAATTCCACTTTGACATTATGGGGTATTATGTGTAGGCCAGTGACAAAACATTGCAGTTTCATCCATTTTAAATTCAGGCTGTAACACAGCAAAATGTGGAAAAAGCGAAGGGGTGTGAATACTTTCTGAAGGCACTGTATTCGCGAAATGTTTGGGTTTGGGCTCATTTCATTTCTGTGATGTCGAATCAGGTCTGGGCTCAGGCTTCAGCCTACCAGGATTGGGTTGGACCGGGATCGAATTTTCAGTTCTGATGAGAACTCTAAACTGCATTTGGGTCATGTGTGCAGTCCGGCAGTGTCAATGATGCGTGTGCTTTGACTTTATGGCAACTTTTGTGTGAAATAAATACGCTAGGCTAAAGGCTTCCATGCGATAACCTGTTTGGATAAGGTGCTATTTAATTATTTGCCAGTCTGCTGCTGATTTTTTTTTTTTGGGGGGGGGGGGGGGGGGGGGGGTTTACCGGTGTTAATCCCTAGTATGTAGAGTATAGAGTATTGTTTCCCGGGCACAGGCTTAAGACTAGTCCTGGACCTGAAAGCACTTTTTATGAAGATTCTCCACAGCATGCTTATTGACCCAGGACTAGACTTAATGTGTATCCGGGAAACTGTCTCGTAATGTATCATAGTGGTCAGATGTGTTACCTGTGATGCTCCGGGGATGGCGGGGCCAGGGGTGATGGGCTGGGCCATGAGGTCATAGTCGTTACCGGAGGAACCGGCCGCCACGTACGAGTAGGAGCCCCGCGCCCAGGGGTCGGCACGCCAACGCGTTACCACCGTTTCCTTGGGCTGCCGTGACAACAAACAGCGATGAGTTTCCATGTCGATATCAAATTCCAGTAAACATGGTTGGTAAACACTAAACAGTTCCAAAGCTAACCAACATGAATAACTACATATGATTAGCTTGCATTATACCTTTTTCCATGATGTATTTGACTGGTGGTTTGAGAGGACTCATAGAAACATAGAAATATACTAACTAGAACAAATATTCTGATTCAAGTCAACGTTCAGTGATGGGTGGACCGGCAGCAATTTTGCAATTTTGAGTGTAATTCTATTTCTATGTCCAAAGCAAGCCAATTCACACATGCCTGAGGTACAGCACTGCTTCCAAAAATGCCTTTGAGGATGGCGAGGCAGCGTCCGACGATGACGTCGTCGCTGATGTTCTCCATGATGCCGGCCGCCTCTCCGGCCATCAGTGCCAGCAGTATGGGGGCTGGGAGGGGACAAAACACACATTGATTAACTTCAGAGGCATAGGTAAATGAAATTCTGTCCCAAGTCAAAATGGGTGACTACATCCAAATGTCACCACGTCTCGATCTCAATTGCTTACAAATCTAGCTTCTCCTTATGTCCAGCCCCTTTATCTGCACGGTGGACGACTTGACAATGAAAAACGACATGGTGGAAGAAGCTCATCATTAGGCCGCCTTTCACCTGGTCAGTCCTTTCAGATCAGTGCAATGAAGGAGATGAAAGGATGGACATTCAAAACAAGTTTTTCCCCAAGCCGCTGTGCTTCTGCATCTGCATTGCTTACTCTTTGGAGTTTTAGGCTGGGTATCTATAAAGCACTTTAACAACTGCTAATGTAAAAAGTGCTTTTTAAACTATATTTGATTGAGAAAGAGCCCAATTACCACCGTTTTGAGATAATTGCCTGGTTCACTGTGCTCACCTTTGTAGAGGTTCCAGAAGAGGAAGAGTTCTCCCCTGCTGGCTGTAGTGCTGCCCACATGGCCAAACAGGTTCACACTGGGGTCCCAGAACACACGGTCAAAGCACAGCACCACCTAGTGACGGGAGGGACACACAATATCAGCATGAGTAACTCAATACACACCAAAAACACATACCAGTCTAGTCAGGACAGTTTCCCAGGCAAAGTTTGGAGTTGGGCAATAGGTCCATAAATTGGGCCAATAAGGCTGGTTTGATGGCCTGTGTGGTGAGGTAACAGAACAGGTAAGAGCATGGAGACTGGGAGAGCAGGAGGAATTCTGAGCTCTAGGCCTTTCTGATGACGCTAGTGATCTGGCACTGATCACTATATAGAAAACACCCTGAAGAGTCAGATGAATCAGAAGAGAACTGTTTCATAAGAGACACCTGAGGGAAAGATGGAACTTGACCAAATGAGAGAAGCCTGAGTGACTGCATTTTATCATCGCACTAAACACAGAATTAGATAGAACTGAATTATATCATCTCTGTGGTTCCAACTGACTGTTCTATATTCGTCAAAATTGTTTAAGACCCATTTCACACAAAAATATTTTCATATTACAAATGCTGTCATTAGATGGATGTTTTGCTGATGAAGGTTGTGGAGTTTAGGCTCCATTCAATTGAATTCAGAGGATGAGCTCCCTCTGGTGGCCGCGAGGCGCCACAAACACACACACAGGTCCCATTGCATAATAATACAGCATTTTCTGCTGCAGCCAAATTAGGAGATAGAAACTCTGCAGTAGATGATGCACATTGGGGCTCAGTGAGAAAAGAGAGAGAGAGAAAGTGAAAGACTGGAGGAGGAGGATGGATTCTGATCTGATTACTAACAGATTGACAAAATCCTCACTCACCCACCCGTACACACTCACCCACCCTCCCTCCCTCCCTCCCTCCCAGGGCTGATATAAAACAGGATAAAATGCTATTTTGGGGAGAGAGGTAACCTTGTTCTTTGCACTGTGTATGTACAAAACACCTGGGCTGGTGCCTCGGAATGGTAATGAAGATGCTCATGTAAATTGACAGGGTGAGTGAATGAGTGAAATACATGTCTTGACAGCAGGAGAGATCTCTATCGTTTTACTTTTGCTTCCTAGTTGTTTACTATCAAGTGAGCCAAGAGTTTTTGATAGACATCCATTTGTACAGCAGCAGGCTTCCCACTGAAGGTCAAGTTCCTACCTCAAGGACACTGCAGCAAGACTCACAGAAGTCTTACATTAATCTCAGTCCACATGGATAAACACCAAAAACAACAGTGTTGCAAAGCCAAGTAGAGGGGTGTTCCGTACCTTGTTGAGGTTGCCAAAGCCCATCCTCTGGATAGCAGAGGTCTTCCACTCTGGCAGGGGGGGAACAAACTGTACGGCAGGGGGCTGTTGCTTCATGACACCCAGGGGTAGGGTGCACAGAACCGCGTCACACTTGTAGATGAACGTCTGAGTGGTGGAGCGTGTGTTCACCGCAATCACCTCACAGCCTGGAGAGCGAGAGACATACACACGCAATTAGACAAAGACACACACACATGGGATTTGTTTGTCAGCCTTTTAAAACGCATTTCATGCAATACTACGTCATTTACATGACATTAGCTGAATCTTTTGTAATACCACACAAATGACCGAAATGAGTGGCTACTCTGACACTGACAAACAGAGATGAATCTGGTCTTGAATTCAAACAAACAATAGCCCAGGGCAAAGACGCGACACACAGATTGTACAATATTATGAGGCAATATAAAACGCAACAATTTCAAAGATTCTACTGAGTTACAGTTATTATAAGGAAATCAGTCAATGGAAATAAATCCATTAGCCACTAATCTATGGATTTCACATGACTGGGAACATCCTTAAAAAAATTAAAAAAAAAAAGTAGATCTGAAAACCAGTCAGTATCTGGTGTGACCACCATTTGCCTAATGCAGCGCGACACATCTCCTTCACAGAGTTGATCAGGCTGTTGTGGCCTATGGAATGTTGTCCCACTTCTCTTCAATGGCTGTGCAAAGTTGCTGGATATTGACGGGAACTGGAACACGCTGTCGTACACGTCGATCCAGAGCATCCCAAACAGTTTCAATGGGTGACATGTTTGGTGAGTATGCAGGCCATGGAAGAACTGGGACATTTTCAGCTTCCAGGAATTGTGTACAGATCCTTGCGACATGGGGCTGTGCATTATCATGCTGAAACATGAGATGAATGGCACGACAATGGACCTCAGGATCTCGTCACGGTATCTCTGTGCATTCAAATTGCCATCGATAAAATGCAGTCGTGTTAGTTGTCCGTAGCTTATGCATGCCCATACCATAACCCCACCGCCACCATGGGGCACTCTGTTCACAACGTTGACAGCTGCAAACTGCTCGCCCACACGACGCCATACACATAGTCTGCGGTTGTGAGGCCGGTTGAACGTACTGCCAAATTCTCTGAGACGAAGTTAGAGGCGCCGTATGGTACAGAAATTAACATTCAATTCTCTGTCAACAGCTCTGGTGGAAATTCCTGCAGTCAGCATTCCAATTGCACACTACCCTCAAAACTTGAGACATCCGTGTGTGTGACAAAACTGCACATTTTAGAGTGGCCTTTTATTGTCCCCAGCACAAGATGCACCTGTGTAATGATCATGCTGTTTAATCAGCTTCTTGATATGCCACACCTGTCAGGTGGGTGGATTATCTTGGCAAAGGAGAAATGCTGACTAACAGGGATGTAAACAAATTTGTGCCAAAAAAATTTGATTTGAGAGAAATAAGCTTTTCGTGCGTATGGAAAATTTCTGCAATCTGTTATTTCAGCTCATGAAACATGGGACCAACACTTTACATGTTGTATTTATATTTTTGTTCTTTGTGTGTATATATGTAAAAAAATATATAAAAAGCAGAAATACCTTATTTATGTAAGTTCAGACCCTTTGCTATGAAACTCGAAATTGAGCTCAGGTGTATCCTGTTTCCATTGACAATCCTTGATATGTTTCTACAACTTGATTGAAGTCCACACCGGTCTATATAAAAGGTCCCACAGTTGACAGTGCATGTCAGAGCAAAAACCAAGCCATGAGGTCGAAGGAATTATCCGTAGAGCTCCAAGACACAAATCTGACAAAGGGTACTAAAAAATGTCTGCAGCATTAAAGGTCCCCAAGAACACAGTGGCCTCCATCATTCTTAAATGGAATAAGTTTCGAACCACCAAGACTCTTCCTGGAGCTGGCCACCTGGCCAAACTGAGCAATCGGGGAAGAAGGGCCTTGGTCAGGGATGGCCAAGAACCCGATGGTCACTGACAGAGCTCCAGAGTTTCTCTGTGGAGATGGGAGAACCTTCCAGAAGGACAACCATCTCTGCAGCACTCCACCAATCAGGCCTTTATGGTAGTGGCCAGACGGAAGCCACTGCTCAGTAAAAACGCACATGACAGCCCGCTTGGAGTTTGCCAAAACGCACCTAAAGGACTCTCAGACCATGAAAAACAAGATTCTCTGGTCTGATGAACCCAAGATTGAACCCTTTGGCCTGAATGCCAAGCGTCACGTCTGGAGGAAACCAGGCACCATCCCTACGGTGAAGCATGGTGGTGGCGGCATCATGCTGTGGGGATGTTTTTCAGCAGCAGGGACTGGGAGACTAGTCAGGAAAGGGAAAGATGAATGGAGCAAAGAACTGTGAGATCCTTGATGAAAACCTGCTCCAGAGCGCTCAGGATTTCAGACTGAGGCAAAGGTTCACCTAACAGGACAACAACCCTAAGCACACACCCAAGACAACACAGGAGTGGCATTCGGGACAAGTCTCTGAATGTCCTTGAGTGGTCCAGCCAGAGCCCGGACTTGAACCCGATCGAACATCTCTGGAGAGACCTGAAAATAGCTGTGCAGCAACGCTCCCCATCCAACCTGACAGAGCTTGAGAGGATCTGCAGAGAATAATTGGAGAAACTCCCCAAATACAGGTGTGCCAACCTTTTTATTTTATTTATTTATTTATCTGTTTCAACTTTATTTAACAAGGTAAGCCAGTTGAGAACAAGTTCTCATTTACAACTGCGACCTGGCCAAGATAAAGCAAAGCAATGCGATAAAAACAACAACACAGAGTTACATATGGGGTAAAACAAAACATAAAGTCAAAAATACAACATAAAATCTATATACAGTGTGTGCAAATGTAGCAAGTTATGGAGGTAAGGCAATAAATAGGCCATAGTGCAACATAATTACAATTAGTATTAACACTGGAATGATAGATGTGCAAGAGATGATGTGCAAATAGAGATACTGGGGTGCAAATTAGCAAAATAAATAACAATATGGGGATGAGGTAGTTGGGTGGGCTAATTTCAGATGGGCTGTGTACAGGTGCAGTGATCGGAAAGGTGCTCTGACAACTGATGCTTAAAGTTAATGAGGGAGATAAGAGTCTCCAGCTTCAAAGATTTTTGCAGTTTGTTTCAGTCATTGGCAGCAGAGAACTGGAAGGAATGGCGGCCAAAGGAGGTGTTGGCTTTGGGGATGACCAGTGAGATATACCCGCTGGAGCGCATACTACGGGTGGGTGTTGCTACCTTGTAGCGTCCTACCCAAGATGACTCGAAGCTGTAATCGCTGCCAAAGGTACTTCAACAAGTACTGAGTAAAGGGTCTGAATACTTACGTAAATGTGATCCGTTTTTATTTTATTTGTAATACATTTGCAACAACTTCTAAAAACCTGTTTTTGCTTTGTCATTATGGGGTATTATGTGTAGATTGATGAGGGGAAAAAACTATTTAATCAATTTTAGAATAAGGCTGTTAAGTAAAAAAAATTGGAAAAAGTGAAGGGGTCTGAACACTTTCCAAATGCACTGTATTTCCTCAAAAAATGTTTTGCCTCTTGGGCTCCCCACGGGCCTGGGCCCAGGGGCTTCAGCCCCGGTAAGCCCCTGCATTAATTTGGCCCTGCACACACAGGTTTCCCACCACACACACACACTAATAGGTAACACATGAACAAGGGAATACACAGACTGACACACACACACAGACAGACAACACATAAAGAAAAGACACAGATTTACAAACAAGCATAAATGCAGCTACCCACACACACTGTAAACTTACCAGAAGCGGTGTATCGGACCTGTCGTACCGCTGTGTTCAGTTTGATGTCCAGGCCCTCGGCCAGAGCCACGGGGACACAGGAGTAGCCGTTCCTCACTGTCAGGTGGCTGCCTGTGAACTCAAAGTCGTCGTCCTGGACAGGAGAAAGAGGGAGAAAACACAACACAAAATGTGGGTTATATATGGTTTACAGGGACAAGGAGGGAGATAAATCAATACATTTTAAACACTCAGAACGTGGATTATGTCTGGGTTATTATTTGTGGTTTCTGCCTCCGCATTCTTTTTCCCTCTGAGGGTTTTAGGCTAGGTATCTGTAAAGCACTTTCTTTGTGACAACTGCTGATGTAAAAAGGGGTTGATAAAAATCCATTTGATTGATTGGTTTACAAGGGCTTAGAGAGAGAGAGAAAACAACAAATCAACACATTAGAACAGGATTCATAATAGATGGTACTTGCAGTTTACGGGGACTATAGCCTGGTGGTTTGAAAGGCATGAATTCAACTAGATCTGGTGTCTAATAGCAGTGTATAGTATGTGGTTGAAATCGGATCTGGTGTGGATGTGCATACTAGGAGAGAGAATAGCCAGGACAAGATGGATTGGTTTGGGAAGGGAAAGTCCCCATGTACTGCAGGAAGAAATCTTAAAGGCGCAATATATAGGGCTGGAACTGTAATTGTATAATTGTGTAACCGACGATTATGGATGAAGACCATCATGAAAATAAAATAGCGGTAATAACCGTTTTTATATAAAAAATAGAAATAATTTATTTTCATCAACTTCATTTTCAAGGCAACAAACTTTACTCAAAATAAAGGCACCAGAGGGGATGGCTGCAATTTTACGGGCTCCTAACGAACTGTGCTATTTTGTTTGTTTCTTCGCATTGTTTGTGACTTGTTTTGTACATAATGTTGCTGCTACCGTCTCTTCCGACCGAAAAGAGCATCTGGACATCAGAACAGCGATTACTCACCTCGAACTGGACGAAGATTTTTTTCTTTAATGAGTCTGACGCTTAGGATCTACGGTTTCCTCGATACCAGGCCCAAATCCCTGTCATTCGTGTGAAGAAAATATGGAAATACAGGGGGCGGAGGTCGGCGGGCCTTGTGAGAATTCGTCGGCGAGTGGGTAAACCGCCTCTACCATCCGTTCTATTGGCCAACGTGCAATATCTGGAAAATAAACTGGATGATCTACGATCAAGACTATCCTACCAACAGGACATTAAAAACTGTAATATCTTATGTTTCACTGAGTCGTGGCTGAACGACGACACGGATAATATAGAGCTGGCTAGGTTTTCCGTGCATTGGCAGGACAGAGCAGCTATGTCTGGTAAGACGAGGGGAAGGGGTGTGTGTGTGTATTTTGTCAATAACAGCTGGTGCGCGATGTCTAATATTAAAGAAGTCTCAAGGTTTTACTCACCTGAGGTAGAGTATCTCATGATAAGCTGTAGACCACACTATCTACCAAGAGAGTTTTCATCTATATTATTCGTAGCTGTCTATTTACCACCACAAACCGATGCTGGCATTCAGACCGCACTCAACGATCTGTATAAGGCCAAAAGCAAACAAGAAAATGCTCATCCAGAAGCGGCACTCCTAGTGACATGGGACTTTAATGCAGGCAAACTTTAATGCACGCTCTACGTAGCCGATGTGAGCAAGACCTTTAAACAGGTCAACATTCACAGGGCCACAGGGCCAGAAGAATTACCAGGACGTGTACTCAGAGCATGCGCGGACCAACTGGCAAGTTTCTTCACTAACATTTTCAAGCTCTCCCTGACCGAGACTGTAATACCTTCATGTTTCAAGCAGACCACCATAGTCCCAGTGCCCAAGAAAGTGAAGGTAACCTGCCTAAATGACTACCGCCCCGTAGCGTTCACGTCAGTAGCCATAAAGTGCTTTGAAAGGCTGGTCATGGCTCACATCAACACCATCATCCCGGAAACCCTAGACCCACTCCAATTCGCATACCGCTCCAACAGATCCACAGATGACGCAATCTCAATCGCACTCCACACTGCCCTTTCCCACCTGGACAAAAGGAACACCCATTTGAGAATGCTGTTCATTGACTAGAGCTCAGCGTTCAACACCATAGTGCCCACAAAACTCATCACTAAGCTAAGGACCCTGGGACTAAACATCTCCTTCTGCAACTGGATCCTGGTCTGTCTGATGGGCCGCCCCCAGGTGGTAAGGGTAGGTAACAACACATCTGCCAAGCTGATCCTGAACACGGGGGCCCCTCAGGGGTGTGTGCTTAGTCCCCTCCTGTACTCCCTGTTCACCCATGACTGCGTGGCCAAGCACGACTCAAACACCATCATTAAGATTGCTGATGACACAACAGCCTGATCACCGATAACAATGAGACAGCCTATAGGGAGGTGGTCAGAGACCTGGCACTGTGGTGCCAGGACAACAACCTCTCCCTCAATGTGAGCAAGACAAAGGAGCCGATTGTGGACTACAGGAAAAGGAGGGCCGATCACGCCCCCATTAACATCGATGGGGCTGCAGTGGAGCGGGTCGACTTTCAAGTTCCTTGGCGTCCACATCACCAACAAAACTATCATGGTCCAAACCCACCAAGACAGTTGTGAAGAGGGCACGACAACACCTTTTCCCCCTCAGGAGACTGAATTTTTTTGGCATGGGTCCCCGGATCCTCAAAAAGTTCTACATCATCGAGAGCATCCTGAACGGTTGCATCACCGCCTGGCATGGTAACTGCTCGGCATCCGACCGTAAGGCGCTACAGAGGGTGGTGCGTACGGCCCAGTACATCACTGGGGCCAAGCTTCCGGCCATCCAGGACCTATATACTAGGCGGTGTCAGAGGAAGGCCAGAAAAATTGTCAAAGACTCCAGTCACCCAAGTCATAGACTGTTCTCTCTGATACCGCACAGCAAGCGATACCGGAACACCAAGTCTAGGTCCAAAAGGCTCCTTAACAGCTTCTACCCCCAAGCCATAAGACTGCTGAACAATTAATCAAATGGCCACCCGGACTATTTACATTGACACCCCCCCCCCCCTTGTTTTTACACTGCTGCTACTCGCTGTTTATTATCTATGCATAGTCACTTTGCCCCTACCTACATGTACAAATTACCTTGACTAACCTGTACCCCCGCACATTGACTCGGTACCGGTACCCCCTACATATAGCCTCAGTATTGTTATTTTATTGTGTTACTTAAATGTTTTACTTTAGTTTATTTAATAAATATTTTCTTAACTCCATTTCTTGAACTGCATTGTTGGTTAAGGGCTTGTAAGTAAGCATTTCACGGTAAGGTCTAAGCCTGTGACAAATGCAATTTGATATGATTTGAAAAGCAGTAAAGTAAAAGTAAGCCTGGTTCAAATCTAACAACCGATATCAGGAGAAACGAGAGGAGACAAAAGCCAGTTTTAGAATTTTGTGTTTTGAATTTTTCAGCTTACTGAAGACAGCCAGGCATTCAAAAACACAAGTGCAGTTGAGTCCGTTTCAGCGGTAACCTGGACTCCTCACAACGTGATGAAACTTTGCTGCCCCTTGATTCAGCAATGTGTTGTAGCAAACGAGTATCATGAATTACATGCACCCAATGGCTTTCCAAAAACAGGGCACACTGTGACTTGATAGAGAAATGTCACTCCAGCTAGCTATTCCCTCTGCTAGCTGTCAGCTTGGCTAAACAGTAAACATCATGTTTCTGCACATGCAGTCAGGAGGAGAGGAGAAAATGTTGATCTTTTTTTTTTGCTATTCAAATGGTTATTATGGTAATCGTGGTCATTTGCCTGACAAAATAACCGTCATCCAAAATTCCATGAACGTCAGCAATATATACAAATCGATCTACCATTATCTGTTTGCTAAAATTCTATCATGTTTGCCTAATTTCAGTTTATGTGACAAAACCAGCACTGTATAGTGTGGAGAGTCATTGTACAATCTAAACCGTTGTGAAATACAGTGCATTCGGAAAGTATTCAGACAGGTTCCCTTTTTCACATTTTGTGACGTAACACCCATATTCTAAAATTGATTAAATATTATTTTTCTCATCAATCTATACACAATACCCCATAATAACAAAGCGAAAACAGTTTTGACATTTTTGCTAATTTATTTAAAATAAAAACAGATACCTTATTTACATAAGTATTCAGACCTTTGCTACGAGACTCGAAATTGAGCTCAGGTGCATTCTTTCCATTGATCTACAACTTGATTGGAGTCCACCTGTGGTAAATTCAATTGATTGGACATGATTTGCAAAGGCAAACATCTGTCTATATAAGGTCCCACAGTTGACAGTGCATGTCTGAGCAAAAACCAAGCCATGAGGTCGAAAGGAATTGTCCGTAGAGCTCCGAGACAGGATTATGTCGAGGCACAGATCTGGGGAAGGGTACCAAAAATTTTCTGCAGTATTGAAGGTCCCCAAGAACCCAGTGGCCTCCATCATTCTTAAATGGAAGAAGTTTGGAACCACCAAGACTCTTCCTAGAGCTGGCCGCCCAGCCAAACTGAGCAATCGGGGGAGAAGGGACTTGTGGTCAGGGAGGTGACCAAGAACCCGATGGTCACTGACAGAGCTCCAGAGTTCCTCTGTGGAGATGGGAGAACCTTCCAGAAGGACAACCATCTCTGCAGCACTCCACCAATCAGGCCTTTTTGGTAGAGCGGCCAGACGGAAGCCACTCCTCAGTAAAAGGCACATGACAGCCCACTTGGAGTTTGCCAAAAGGCACCTAAAGGACTCTCAGACCATGAGAAACAAGATTTTCTGGTCTGATGAAACCAAGACTGAAGTCTTTGGCCTGAATGCCAAGCCTCACATCTGGAGAAAACCTGACACCATCCCTACGGTGAAGCATGGTGGTGGCAGCATCATGCTGTGGGGATGTTTTTCAGTGGCAGGGACTGGGAGACTAGTCAGGATTGAGGGAAAGATGAACGGAGCAAATAACAGAGAGATCCTTGATGAAAACCTGCTCCAGAGTGCTCAGGAACTCTGACTGGGGGCGACGGTTCACCTTCCAACAGGACAACGATCCTAAGCACACAGCCAAGACAATGCAGGAGTGGCTTCGGGACAAGTCTCTGAATGTCCTTGAGTGGCCCAGCCAGAGTCCGGACTTGAACCCGATCAAACACCTCTGGAGAGACCTGAAAATAGCTGTGCAGCAACGCTCCCCATCCAACCTGACAGAGCTTGAGAGGATCTGCAGAGAAGAATTGGAGAAACTCCCCAAATACAGGTGTGCCAAGCTTATAGCGTCATACCCAAGAAGACTCAAGGCTGTAATTGCTGCCAAACGTTATTCAACAAAGTACTGAGTAAAGGGTCTGAATACTTATGTAAATGTGATATTTCAGTTTAAAAATATATATAAAATAGCAAAATGTTCAACTGTTTTTGCTTTGTCATTATGGTGTATTCTGTGTAGATTGATGAAGGGATTTAAAAAAAAATGTTTTAATCTATTTTAGAATAAGGCTGTAACGTAACAAAATGTGGAAAAAGTCAAGGGGTCCAAATACTTTCCGAATGCACTGTATCTTTTCAATAACCAAAAATATAATATTTTTAGCTGTTTGAAGCTGGTGTACAAAACCGAACGTAAGATGCAAAAGCGAAACTTAAGGACGAGAAGCATGGCAATATTGCACATAGAATGGATCTACTGCTTATCAGACTGGTTTTCATTGAGGATGACAGATCTATAACTCACATTCTATGTGAATTTGGTCAGGTCAACTACAAAGCTACATACTGGACCTAAGTGAGTAATGAGTGAGTATGAGCGTACCTGGTCCCAGTGCTTGAGCGAGAGAGTAGAGAGGGGCGTGGCGTTCGCAAATTCCAAGTTGGCAAAGTGCCAGTCAAGGATCTGCCTGTCCCGGGACGACAGGTACACGTCACTGTGGAGAGATCGTCAGAGGGTGGAAAAAAGTATGGATGGATGCGAGCATATCTAGCCTGGTCACAGATCGGTTTGTATTTTGCCTACTCCGTTGTCAAGCTAAACATTGGCATGACAACACCCAGGCTAGAACACACCCACATGCTTAAAGAATAGGACAACAGCAGCCCTTTACAGTGGGGCGAAGGTTTTCAAGTGTTACCTGGGAGGGTTGGCCTCCAGTTCCTGTAGCTTCTCCTCTAGTTTGACCTGCGACTCCACCAGCTCATCATACTCCTACAGGAGAGGGGACAGAAAGGGGTGTAACACTGTGAGACATGGGGCATCCCGAGTGGCGCAGTGCTTGAGGCGTCACTACAGACCCGGGTTCGATCCCAGGCTGTGTCACAGCCGGCCGTGACCGGGAGACCCATGAGGCGGTGCACAATTGGCCCAGCGTCGTCCAGGTTAGAGGAGGGTTTGGCTGGCCGGGATGTCCTTGTCCCACTCCTTGTGGCGGACCGGGCGCTTGCAAGCTGACTTCGGTCGCCAGTTGTACAGTGTTTCCTCCGACACATTGGTGCGGCTGGCTTCTGGGTTAAGCGAGCAGTGTGTCAAGAAACAGTGTTTCGGAGGACGCATGGCTCTCGACCTTCCTCTCCCGAGTCCGTACGGGAGTTGCAGCGATGGGACAAGACTAACTACCAATTGGATTTCACAAAATTGGGGAGAAAAAGGGCTAAAAGTAAATAAAAAAGGTTTTAAATACACTGTGAGACATACAGAGAACCACCATGCGTGAGAGAAAGAGCATTTATTTTTCTTGGCAAGACGCAAAGGCCGCCAATGGAGCATACAGGAAACCATTTGAAGTCAACCGGTTTCAGGCATGGGGGCCAACCTGAGCAATAGACGGGGAAACACTGGAGTACATCTATTTGTGCACACAAGAAGGTTTCAAGTAAAGTAAGAAGGACATCAGCCCAGTGACTTTAATGGGCTGAGTCACCCTGTCCAGCTTTCCCACAGTTTCATCGCCTACCCGTGCAGCCACCAGTTGATTGACACGGCCTAATAAATATGTCCAAGTAAAATTAAAACCCCACACCCCCCTTCCCAAGGCTTCCCCGACCCTGTTCTAGCCTGTACGTGTACAACACACGCTCTCAGTGTGTGTGCACACCGTTTCCAGCCAGACAGACCAGGCTGAGTCAAGCCTTAGAAGTGGCTTTTCAGGAGGCAGTCAACCGAAAGACGACTCGAGTTCAGACAGCAGCTGTGTTTAAACTTGCTTCCCGAAAATACACTTCTGAGGTGGAGCTTTATCTGCGCTGAAATGAGGCTGTACTGCCTTTAGTGATACACACAGGCAAAGTATTAGACCACTCAAACACATGCTACTGAAACCGTCTTGTTTACATAGAGCTAATAAAGAAATTGTCTCTATGGGGCAAATCCTTACTTCTTCTTATGTCGAATTTTCACTTAGTCGTGCATTTACATCAATGGGAAACTACGTGAAAATTAGACTTAAGTGAAAGTTAGGATGTGCCCCTATGGTCTCAAGTACACTTTTGTCTCCTTTGCTTAAAGGGACACTTCGGGATTTTGGCAATCTACTTCCCCAGAGTCAGATGAACTCGTGGATACCATTTTTATGTCTCTGTGTCCAGTACGAAGGAAGTTAGATGTAGTTTGTAAGCCAAAGCTAACTAGCGTTATCGCAATGCCTGGAAGTCTATGGGTATTTACTAGCATGCTAGTAGACCACTAGTTAGCAATTGCGCTAGCACTAGTTAGCAACTTCTTTCAAACTGCAAAAAGAGAGATAAAAATCGTATCCATGAGTTCATCTGACTCTGGGGAAATAGACAAAGGGTCTCATTGCCAAAATCCCGAAGTATCCCTTTAATGGCCCAAATCCAATCCATCCATTTACTACGCTAACATGGTTTCCTCTAAGCTCATAGTGTCGCAGCAAGTCGGCTATAGTCATTAAGCTCTATATTTCCCCCTAATAAATTAGTTTACCTAAATGAAGGAAAGACTTGAATGGAGGAAATACTTTCTATATAAACAACCACAATTATATTGGAAAGTTGAGTAACACATTTCTCTCATGAGTTGATTGAAATGACATCAACAGCGGTCCACAGACTAGGCCCATACTGTAGCTGCAGGCCATTCTGGTAGTCAAGCTGCTATTGGGAGTCCCAGTCAACAGAAAATATCAGGGTAAAAAATTAACTTTTTCACTTTCATCTTTTAACCAAAATATCACAGACGAGACAAAAATGTTCAGCTGCACCTTTAAGGGCGGGAGGTTACCGTGGTAATGCGACTGGAGTCATGTATGTGCCTGTGAGTCTGACTAGTAGAAGCTTCATCTTCTCTTCTTTCAAACATAGAAAAACAACCTAGCTTGTGAGCAAAACAATGTAAATAGCCAAGAAACACAAGGACAAAGTCTCACTTCAGTAGAATATAGTTTCAAGTAAATTATTCAAACATTTATGCCTGTGCGCAGCGCTTCTAAAAATGAATGTTTCACCCAGCTCTTCACGTGCGCACAGCCCCAAGCCAAGCAGTGTTGCAGTGCGAGGTGGAATAGGCTATATAGGATTTGTAGTTCTTTGACTTTATGAAATTAATTTACCAGCTATGAAACAAAATGGCATAAATACTTTGAAAACAGCTACTATTTAATTCACTATAAATGTGATCATACTTGACTACTTTTATTCACAAATGCAAGTGAAATGCTCGCACTGTGGAGCCCTGACCACCCGCCAATGCCAAAATCTACCCGCATTTGGCAAGTGGCGGGTGTTAATTTTAGGCCCTGGAAAACATACTCTGATAATCACCCGAAAATGGTTCAAAACTGGTGCGATTGAAAACACATAAGTTGAGAACACCTTTAATTGAATCAAATTGTGTCTGGAGGCTAGAAATAGGTGATGGTCCAGCTAATGACTTCAGCTGTTAAATGTATGGCTTATCCACGTTGTGTGTGAGTCTGGAGGAAGTACCACACCGCACAGGAATTAAGTTTGTTTTGGAAAAACAAATAAGCAAAAGGGAAAGTAATCAAAGTAATGTGCCATTAACTGCTTGCAGCTTGAAGCTATTTGTATGGAACAAGTAGGGCCCTATAAAATCTGTTGTATTTTTGACAGAGCATGAGTGGTTGACTTGTGGTCTCACCTTGCAGAGTGCAGTGAGGTCACGGTGCTTGCTCTTGACCAGGAACTCGGCGGTGATGTCTCTGGGGGGCTTGACCTCGCTGGCCTCCTTGTGCTGCTGATGAAGCTCCTTGACCCTCTCCTTGGTACCCACCATCTGAGAGAATGAGGGAGGGGGAAGAGAGAAAGGTAGATAGACATAGGAGGAGAAAACAGATTCAAGGAGGGAAAGAGTACAAGCATATACACAAAAGCGACTTTTGTTGTTCTTTTGACCTCAGATACAGTGGAACTCATGGTCACCTTGTTCAACAGCTCCTTGAGATCCTCTTGGGTCTTAACTATCTTCTTCCAGTGCTCTATCTGCTCATCTTTCACATGTTTCTCCTGCAACCTATTGGAAGTTATCAGTCAAAAGAACACCTAAGAATGTATATGTGCCGTTGAGAAAGAGGGATGATTTTTGTTATGAAAAACTAAATACAACCATCGTCACAGAATTTGTGCAAGTTGCCAAGCCCTGCATATGCCTGGCCAAAGGGCCAAACACTTACTGAATGACCACCTCCAGGGCCTGTCCCAGGGACACAGGCTTGTTGTTGAGGAAGTTAAAGTCCAGCTGGTGGCTGAGGTAAGAGGTCGCCTCCAGCAGACGGTTAAACTCCTGCTCCACCATCTCATCCTTCTCCTTGGGCACCTGATGATTAGATCAACAACGAACATTAGGATTATAGCATTTCATATTAATAATGAACAATTTGATTATAGCATTTTATGTGATTCATGAACATGCAGTCATAAGGAAGAGCAATCCAATTTAGAAAGGAATCGCTTCCTCTACCATTAGAAATTGATCAAGAGAAGTATACCTCTTGAAAAAAAGTGAAAAAGAAAACTATTGCTGACTACAAGCCTTCTACAGCCAATTAACCCTTAGACAGACAGGCGCCTTTCAAGACACTCAAGGACAGACCCAGTTCTATTACGGTTCAATGTGTACTGACAGCGCATTCAACATTAATTATTAACAATAGGTGAACAATGTTATCATGTGGTAAAACAATCAGAAAACAATACATACGCTTGTGCATCGTTCACCCTTTAGAAGTCCACCAGATGATACACGGGAGGGGTCAAGAGGGGAGAGCATGAACAAATTAGATAAACAAACTTAAAGGAAAGATTCACCCATGTTTTATGTTATATTGCATTTGTGCATCTCTGAGCAATGTTGTTCTCTCGATTCCCGGGGTCATTTCATGTTTTCGTCTATTTCTGAGCTATTCACCGTTCTAGCAGACAGAAATACAGCCGGTATGATGAGTTTTGTGTCATATGATTCAAAATGTGTGACTCTTTCCTTTAATGTTAACCAGGTTTAAACACACTTGAAAAAGGACACTTAATTAGCTTCCCCTGCAGAAAAGGAAATCAGTGCTCATTTTCGTTTTCCGTTGATAAACATTTTGCAATGTTTTGCCCTAATGAATACGACCCTGGCCTGAAAATAACCCCAAACATCCTACCGCTGCTTGACAGAGAGGGAGAAAATAATAGTTTGAAGAGAACACTGCTGTTTATTTCCAGTCTAACGGTATTACATTAGGAAGGTCTCAACCCAGAGAGGGCAGAGCTGCTGTTGATGACACGCTAGGTTAAGCGGCTAACTGAATCCACCCTGCAAAGTGGTTAACTGAATCCACCCTGCGTTTTGCTTGCGTTCCGCGGAAACAAGCAGCTCTGCGAACAAAGTGAAGGGCCCTGCTAACACAGCACATAGTGGTGTGCTGGATGAAATCTAAACATCTTCAGCACAAGAGGTAAATAACAAATGAAGAGAGTTAACATTGGGGGAACAGGAATAAAATATTTCTGTATACAGTAGTACGCTACAATGGTAGTAGGTTACGTTTCTGGTTAGCAGACACTTCAAAGTCGAACATGCTCGCACGAGACACCAAAACGCCAATGTAATACGACAATTCATTTTGTTATAATGTTCTACAAGCATTTCACTCTACTGCAGTGCATTGGCTTATATGGAGCGTGTGGCCTAAACTAAGTGACCCAAATAGCTAGCTAGTGATGCAACACTCACAGCTTGACCGTTGGCTTCATACAGAGGGCACTTCTGTTTGATCTTGGCGAGCTCCATGTTGACCTGCTTGCTGACCACCGCCATGGGATTTCCTCCTAGAACACACCAGATGGAACATCAGGATATAGGCCTACAGCCAGTTCTATGCCTACAACATCACAAAGCCTATATTAGATAACAATGTTACAACTAATGTCATTGTTTAACTGCCTGGCTGTTAACTTGATGATGGATAGATGATGTAATTTTTTTTGGGGCACATATATTGAATGTGATACAAGCAGAATATGACCAAACTTGGTATCATTTGAAACACATTTGTGGAGTCTCACGGTTTCCATATTCAAGTGTCGTTTTTACAGTCTTTCATGAAACAAAGACAAAAAGTGATAAACCGTTTTGCCTGTCCAGTCTGATTTCTTCAGACTACATTGATCAGGGCCCGTATCCACAGTGTCTTTGTAGGAGTGCTGATCTAGGATCAGTTTAGCCTTTTAGGTCATAATGAAGAAATGTATATGGACAGATCCTAGATCAGCACTCCTACTCTGAGAAACTTGGTTTCATACGGCCCAGACTGGAATTTACATGGTCAACACCACCCTCTGCTGGTGAGAAGCTGTCATAGCAGAAACACTGACCAATTCACAGTAGAGGTATAAAGTCAATTGGGATTTCTTTCACAGTGAATTGTTCCTTGATACTAGGTGAGAGGAGTTTGAGGCCCATTTGAAATTACTGCTCAAAGTGTCTTTCAATCATGTACATTAGAGGTTGACATGGGAACAGGACTCCCGTGGGTCTTGTGGGTCCAGCGGGATTCATACAAGAACTGGAGTGAAATTCTAGAGTCAAGTTCGGGAGAGGATCAACAGACCACAGGAACTGGCAGTACAGGAATAATTTTAAACTTAGTTATTTTTGTGTTATAAGCAGTTTTAGAAGGACATGATTGTACCCCCCTGCCCCTCCAACAGGAACAAGTTCTTCAGTTTTCAATCACTATAAAAAAATATATATAATAGGCCCTTCAGCTGAGCAGGCAACAGAAAATAGCTAGCTCTCTCTTGTCTCGTGAACAGCCAAGTGGAGCCGTTGATATGGACACTCACACGCAGAGAGCAAACGGAGCAGACTCACACACAGACAGCAAACGGAGCAGACACACACAGAGCATACGGAGCAGACTCACACACAGAGAGAAAACGGAGCAGATGCAGCGTAGGGAAGGCGCGGGGGACATAGATGAGCAGCTAACGGAGGAAGTTATTTCTGATTTCGGCGTGTTAAAATGAGCATGGGATGGAAGTGATTTTTATTGGGACAGGAGAGGAAAGTTATCAGGGTTATAGAACTGTTGCGGGCTTCGGAGAAAAAATTGACGGCACAGGAATTTATTTTCACTTCCGTGTAATGTTAATTACCACCTGCACTGGCTGTACGTGTGTGTAATTGTGTGTGTCTATGAATGTTTGAATGCCTTACCCAGTCCTGTCACCACCATGGCCCCCAGATCAGCCACATAGTTGCCCTTCCGGAACGTGGCCACTCTCCCCCCAACACGGTCCTGAGAGGAGACAATAACCAAATGACCACAGTGAAGAGGAAAACCCTAACCATCAGCTGTTCCACAAGGCAGAACATGTTGCATTACTGGTCAGTATCACTGTATTAGCTGAAGGGTAGATGTAGGTTGTGTTAAATTGGCACAAAATGGAAGAAAACAGATGCCCTTTCTGAGCTTGTCCAATAAGAAAAATAGGTTTGTTTTCCATTGCAAAATGTTTTGCTACGGTGTGCCCCAATGAACATGACCCTCTTTTTGGGGGGGGGACGTATTGATGTGTGATGTGCTATTGACCCACCCTGGCCTCCAGTACGGTCACATCCATGCCGAAGCTCTGCAGCTGCCGCGCGGCCGCAAGCCCAGACACACCCCCTCCGATTATGATCACCTTGCCTGTCTTCTTTGCTGCAGGGACACAGGGGAAGCAGAGTGGTTAACAATCACATAACCAGTTATTTTGACAAATTGATCAAATTGGCCTTGGTGTAACGCAAATCCGACCATCAACCCTGGTGAGACAAAACCACGACTCGTCAGTGAAGAGCACTTTTTGCCAGTCCTGTCTGGTCCAGCGACGGTGGGTTTGTGCCCATAGGCGACGTTGTTGCCGGTGATGTCTGGTGCGGACCTGCCTTACAACAGGCCTACAAGCCCTCAGTCCAGCCTCTCTCAGCCCATTGCGGACAGTCTGAGCACTGATGGAGGAATTGTGCGTTCCTGGTGTAAATCGGGCAGTTGTTGTTGCCATCCTGTACCTGTCCCGCAGGTTTGATGTTCGGATGTACCGATCCTGTGCAGGTGTTGTTACACGTGGTCTGCCACTGCGAGGACGATCAGCTGTCCGTCCTGTCTCCCTGTAGCACTGTCTTAGGCGTCTCACAGTACGGACATTGCAATTTATTGCCCTGGCCACATCTGCAGTCCTCATGCCTCCTTGCAGCATGCCTAAGGCACGTTGACGCAGATGAGCAGGGACCCTGGGCATCTTTATTTTGGTGTTTTTCAGAGTCAGTAGAAAGGCCTCTTTAGTGTCCTAAGTTTTCATAACTGTGACCTTACTTGCCTACTGCCTGTAAGCAGTTAGTGTCTTAACGACCGTTCCACAGGTGCATGTTCATTAATTGTTTATGGTTCATTGAACAAGCATGGGAAACAGTGTTTACACCCTTTACAATGAAGATCTGTGAAGTTATTTGGATTTTTACATTACATTTACATTTACGTCATTTAGCAGACGCTCTTATCCAGAGCGACTTACAAGTTGGTGCATTCACCCTATAGCCAGTGGGATAACCACTTTACAAATTTTTTTTCTATTTTTTTTTTTTTAAATCTTTTTTTTATTATCTTTGAAAGACGGGGTCCTGAAAAATGGACGTTTCTTTTTTTGCTGAGTTTATTATCAAAGTTACCATAGGATTGCCATAGATTACCTGTTAATTACCAAAGATTCGTAAAACTTTGGTAAATTACCGGTAGCTTTGCAAATACCTGTATACGCATACAAGTGGTGTGTGTTAACCTTGCTTATACAGTTGAAGAAGTCAGAAGTTTACATACACTTAGGTTGGAGTCATTAAAACTCGTTTTTCAAACCACTCCACAAATGTATCATTAACAAACTATAGTTTTGGCAAGTCGGTTAGGACATTTACTTTGTGCATGACAAGTAATTTTTCCAACAATTGTTTAAAGTCAGATTATTTCACATATAATTCACTGTATCACAATTCCAGTGGGTCGGAAGTTTACATACACTAATTTGACTGTGCCTTTAAACAGCTTGGAAAATTCCAGAAAATGATGTCATGGCTTTAGAAGCTTCTGATAGGCTAATTGACATAATCTGAGTAAATTGGAGGTGTACCTGTGGATGTATTTCAAGGCCTACCTTCAAACTCAGTGCCTCTTTGCTTGATATCATGGGAAAATCAAAAGAAATCAGTCAAGACCACAGAAAAAGAATTGTAGACCTCCACAAGTCTGGTTCATCCTTGGGAGCAATTTCCAAACGCCTGAAGGTACCACGTTCATCTGTACAAACAATAGTACGCAAGTATAAACACCATGGGATCACGTAGCCGTCATACCTCTCAGGAAGGAGACGCGTTCTGTCTCCAAGAGATTAACGTACTTTGATGCGAAAAGTGCAAATCAATACCAGAACAACAGCAAAGGAAGAAGCCACTGCTCCAAAACCACCATAAAAAAGCCAGACTACGGTCTGCAACTGCACATGGGGACAAATATCTTACTTTTTGGAGAGATGTCCTCTGGTCTGATGAAACAAAAATAGAACTGTTTGGCCATAATGACCATCGTTATGTTTGGAGGAAAAAGGGGGTGGCTTGCAAGCCGAAGAACACCATCCCAACCGTGAAGCATGGGGGTGGCAGCATCATGCTGTGGGGGTGCTTTGCTGCAGGAGGGACTGGTGCACTTCAAAATAAATGGCATCATGAGGAAGGAAAATTATGTGGATATATTGAAGCAACATCTCAAGACATCAGTCAGGAAGTTAAAGCTTGGTCGCAAATGGGTCTTCCAAATGGACAATGACCCCAAGCATACTTCCAAAGTTGTGGCAAAATGGCTTAAGGACAACAAAGTCAAGGTATTGGAGTGGCCATCACAAATCCCTGACCTCAATCCTATAGAACATTTGTGGGCATAACTGAAAAAGCGTGTGCGAGCAAGTAGGCCTACAAACCTGACACAGCTACACCAGCTCTGTCAGGAGGAATGGGCCAAAAGTCACCCAACTTATTGTGGGAAGCTTGTGGAAGGCTACCCGAAAAGTTTGACCCAAGTTAAACAATTTAAAGGCAATGCTACCAAATACTAATTTAGTGTATGTAAACTTCTGACCCACTGGGAATGTGATGAAAGAAATAAAAGCTGAAATAAATAATTCTCTCTACTATTATTCTGACATTTCACATTTTTAAAATACATTTGTGCTCCTAACTGACCTAAAAGAGGGAATTTTTACTAGGATTAAATGTCAGGAATTGTGAAAAACTGAGTTGAAATGTATTTGGCTAAGGTGTATATAAACTTCAGACTTCAACTGTATGGGCAATTCCACAGTAACAGAATGACGCTGAGACTCCGATTTTTCACTTTAAAATGTATGCCCCAAAAAACTATTGAAAAAACAAACCATACAACTCTATGCACAAGGACTACTTTTAACAATTTCCACATACAATTTTACAAAAATACATTTACTCAAAGAACAGTGCAGATGTAAAGTTTGGTAACAGAATGACGGTAAAAATCTCCCTCCGTTTTTTTATGTGACCACATTCTCCAAAAGCTCGTAAATATCTACTACAAATTAAGATTCAATTATGTCTGCAGAAAGAGTGGGGTGTCAGCTATGATAAGACACCTTGAGTTTGAACAAATCTATTTAGGTTACTGAACTACAGTAAGTGAAGTGGATTAACAACTGGTAACAGAATGACATCATGGGTCCCTGATCTGTACTATACAAAAATGCATACATTTGAATATCATTCTCTTCATTGTGATGTATCCTGAATAGGGCAACAGAGGTAGACAAATGTAATATCCTCCTTTGCATGTTAGGGTATTATTCTACACATTGGCTATTATTCTAATGAGCTTGGCCCCCAAACAAGACCAAATTTGGTTGGTCCGGAAAAACTCTGTACCAATCATAGACACCTTTGTTTCACAAGTTTGGACATCACATTAAAGCACAGTAGAGTTCAGTACAGCACAGTAAATTATACTGTACTTTACTCTACTGTCCAGTACAGTACTGTATTTTACTGACCTATACTCTACTCCACTTTAAATTTACTGTGCTGTCCAAACTTGTGAAACAGACGTCTATGATTTGGACTGACCAAATGCCAACTACTTTTCAACGTCCATGGACGTCCGGTGCACAGTGGGGGAGAGGGCTGATTACAGTCAATGGAAAGCGAGGGAGCTCATGGGTAGGCGTCAGTAAGAGCCGGGAGAGGTGACATTAACTGGAGAGAGAGAGCGACAAAGAGAGAGAGAGAGGGGGACGGGTTGTCCAGGCTGTTTTCACACTCTTGCTTTGACCACCACGCAACAGAAAGAAAAATAAAACAATTTTTAGCTGAACATAACAGTATGCCAGTGGAAGGCAGGACAGTAGCAGGTGACCCAAATGTGGTTTGTGACTACTATGGATTCCCATTGTAGCCAATTCAGATGCAGTCATTGTATTACTCATGATTTCTTCATTCTGTTACCAATTTGGTTTTAATCAATAATAAATCATAAACCAAATTGATATCAGTAAAAACACTAAATAATTGGTAGGTCTACCTTTACTTGTTACTTCTATGAACTTTCATTCTCCTCCCTCACGAGGGAGAGAAATGTGAAAATATCTTAATGGGGCAGTGCAGTTAAATGCTATTTCCTGTTTGTTTTTTAATTATATTTCCACACCACGAGGTCAAAATAATAACATTATGATAATGCCCTTTTTGTGTAAGAATTGTTTTGGGGAAAAAGCCTGCAATTTCAGCCTGTTCAGGTGGGATGGAACTTTTGTCCCACATCATGACATCACAATGTGATCTGATTATAATAGACCAATGACTGATGATTCAAATTTGTTTCCTAACGGCCGCACGGTCAGATTGAGCATTTCAAGGCCCAAAGGAGGATCAGGGAAATAAATTACAACAAATACAGTACCAGTCAAAAGTTTGGACACACCTACTCATTCAAGGGTTTTTCTTTATTTTAACTATTTTCTTCAGTGAGGGAAAAAAAGTATTTGATTCCCTGCTGATTTTGTATGTTTGCCCACTGACAAAGAAATGATCAGTCTATAATTTTAATGGTAGGTTTATTTGAACAGTGAGAGACAGAATAACAAAAAAATCCAGAAAAACGCATGTAAAAAATGTTATAAATTGATTTGCATTTTAATTAGGGAAATAAGTATTTGACCCCGTCTCAATCAGAAAGATTTCTGGCTCCCAGGTTTCTTTTATACAGGTAACGAGCTGAGATTAGGAGCACACTCTTAAAGGGAGTGTTCCTAATCTCAGTTTGTTACCTGTATAAAAGACACCTGTCCACAGAAGCAATCAATCAATCAGATTCCAAACTCTCCACCATGGCCAAGACCAAAGAGCTCTCCAAGGATGTCAGGGACAAGATTGTAGACCTACACAAGGCTGGAATGGGCTACAAGACCATCGCCAAGCAGCTTGGTGAGAAGGTGACAACAGTTGGTGCGATTATTCGCAAATGGAAGAAACACAAAATAATTGTCAATCTCCCTCGGCCTGGGGCTCCATGCAAGATCTCACCTTGTGGAGTTGCAATGATCATGAGAACGGTGAGGAATCAGCCCAGAACTACATGGGAGGATCTTGTCAATGATCTCAAGGCAGCTGGGACCATAATCACAAAGAAAACAATTGGTAACACACTACGCCATGAAGTACTGAAAACCTGCTAACACCAAGTAATCTTATGCAGCACTCCATCACTCTCCTTCTTGGTCAAATAGCTCTTACACAGCCTGGAGGTGTGTTTTGGGTCATTGTCCTGTTTAAAAACAAATTATAGTCCCACTAAGCGCAAACCAGATGGGATGGCGTATCGCTGCAGAATGCTGTGGTAGCCATGCTGGTTAAGTGTGCCTTGAATACTAAATAAATCATTGACAGTGTCACCAGCAAAGCATCTCCACACCTCCTCCTCCATGCTTCACGTGGGAACTAAACATGCAGAGATCATCCGTTCACCTACTCTGCGTCTCACAAAGACACAGCGGTTGGAACCAAAACTCTCAAATTTGGACTCATCAGACCAAAGAACAGATTTCCACCAGTCTAATGTCCATTGCTCGTGTTTCTTGGCCCATGCAAGTCTCTTATTATTATTGGTGTCCTTTAGGCCTGATTCATGCAGTCTCCTCTGAACAGTTAATGTTGAGATGTGTCTGTTACTTGAACTCTGTGAAGTATTTATTTGGACTGCAATCTGAGGTGCAGTTAATTGCCGATTTCTGAGGCTGGTAAATCTAATGAATGTATCCTCTGCAGCAGAGGTAACTTCAAAGTTCTTGAAATGTTCCGTATTGACTGACCTTAATGTCTTAAAGTAATGATGGACTGTCGTTTCTCTTTGCTTATTTGAGCTGTTCTTGCCATAATATGGACTTGGTCTTTTACCAAATAGGGCTTTCTTCTGTATACCCCCTCCTACCTTGTCACAACACAACTGATTGGCTCAAACGCATTAAGAAGGAAAGAAATTCCACAAATTATTTTTTAACAAGGCACACCTGTTAATTGAAATGCATTCCAGGTGACTACCTCATGAAGCTGGTTGAGAGAATGCCAATAGTGTGCAAAGCTGTCATCAAGGCAAAGGGTGGCTGCTTTGAAGAATCTCAAATATATTTTGATTTGTTTAACACCTTTTTGGTTACTACATGATTCCATATGTGTTATTTCATAGTTTTGATGTCTTCACTATTATTCTACAATGTAGAAAATAGTTAAAAAAATCAAGAAAAACCCTTGAATGAGTAGGTGTGTCCAAACTTTTGACTGGTACTGTATATTTAGAAGTTATTTTCATTAAATAAACACACAGTGATTTATTAGACATAGTGAAGAGTTTAAAAAAATAACATTACAAAGACTGCATGGGGGCTTTTAAAGGTTTTCGGTCACAGAATGACAAGGCACTAGGTAATATTTCTTAAACTTACAGAAGGCAAATAATTTCTGCAAAAACTAAATGTTGATATTAGTTGGCAGGGGTCTTCACTTCAACAGTGTTTTGATGTATTTCTAATAGCTTTTAAGACTTTTTCTGCTAGTTGTTTTATAAGACCCCCTTTCCTCTGTTTGACCAGAAATCAAAGACTTTGCTTATTCCTACATTTTAGGATGAAAAATTGTTCAAATATGTATATACACCTTAATTAAAAAATAAATAAAAAATAGACTCAGCTTTAATTTGACACCAAATTTGATATGCTCTTATTAACTGCTCTTGGGGCTTTTTACATGGAAATGCCCATATCTAAATGTGAGCATAAGCATTGTACATACAGTTACTATAGTATATCAGGCAGAAAGTAAAAGGCTAATATACTCACTTGGTAAAGGCTTGACTCTCTTGTAGATCCCAAAGTTGATGAGGCCGTGTCTCTCCAGGTAACTGTGTATTCTGTGCACCAGCACTGTATCACTGTTGTATGGCGCTTCAAACTGTTGTGCTGTGGCTTCGAAGGTTAGCTGGATTTTCGGGTTATCAAGCCAAAGTTGGAGCTGAAACAAATAATTTGCCACAATTTCAGACCCAATTCCAAAATGTACAATATTCTCCAGAACTAAGCAAGTCTTGTTAAAGAAGTAGGTGTGTGTTCTCACCGTGCGGTTGCGGATGTACAGGAACACTTTCTGCATCTGCTGGGGCCCGCTGATGATGTCCGGGAAGCAGGCGGCCTCCTGGGAGGTCATGCGGTCGTGTGGGAGGCGGCTCTGGAACGCAGCTCCCTCCACGCCTGGAAAACCACAAACACGCCACCCTCAACGCCCGTCCTGACACATACACACACACACCTTTCGCTGCCCAATGTGACATTCCCGCTCGCAGGCACGCACTTTCGCACAGTCCGACTCACACTCACCAGAGGGCTCCTCAGGCTCGCTGTCCGCCTCCTCCTCCACGGGCGGCGCCGGTGGCGGGATCACCTGCTTGCGCTCCTTCTCCGCCTTGGCGTTGCGCTCCTCCTCAGAGTAGTATTCGTCCTCGGACAGATTGGCCAGGCTCTCGTCCATCTCGCGGTACTCCACCTGCAACAAGAGGCACAATAAACGCTCCATTAAAACCATGTTCCAGCTCACCTGAGATTAAGCAAATGGTCAAGCTCCCTGTACTGCTCTGGGTGTTGTTCACCACTAATTAGACCGACATACCAAGATTACTGTATTAACTCAATATCGTTAGTCATTCGATGTGCTCTTGGTCTACGGCTGGAGGGGGCACATGCTTGTAGTGACTTATTCTATTTCTCTCTAAGATGGGTGGACAGGTATTATAGGTTGTTTACTTTTGATCGCTTGCGGCGGCTTGTCCTGCGACCCTCGGCCGTGTCCGGGTCCACCCCCCCGGGGCCTGGGGGGTGGGGCAGTGGGGGCCCACCAGGTTCCCCGCTCGGAGAGGCCCGCTCCTTCTTTTTGATCTCCACGGCACCCGGGGCCAAGGGAGGGGCCCCCGCCTGGGCAGGAGACTGGGCCTCAAGGGACCGCTCAGCTCCCCCTGGCGCCAAGGAGGTGGAAGAGGCGGAGGAAGAGGAACCTGCGTCTGACTTCTTACTCGACAGCATCATGGAGGAAGACAGAGGCCTCTCCTTGAAAAAGGAAAACGAAAATTGACATGAGCCAAATCCATTCGCTGCTCTAGAGTTGTCTGTGATATAATACTCCAGGATGGCCAGAGTTTGTTTTTGTTCACAACGTTGATCCATTGTGGTCAAAAATAATAAAAGGCTATAACGTTGCATACTGAATTGCTGTTCATGAAGAGACAAAACATTTTTTACAATGGCCAGGAAAAAATATTATCAACATAGCTAAGAAACACCAGTTGTATAGTATAGAGAAAATTGTAGTTTAGAGAAATATCGTAGCTGGTTTACCAGCTCAACAACCATTTATTTCCTAGAGACAAACTGAATGTTTATGTATTTCAGGTTTCATAACCTTCTTTGTCCAATTAATGCACTCTCTCTCATTTTCTATATGGATAATATTCCATATCATGATGTCAAAATATGGTAAAGAGTTCTAACAACTCCAGCTAACTAAATACATTTCTATAATTTCTATTGTTGGAGCTTTAAATGCACCTGCCAGTAGCGAACCTAGCTAGACTTAAAATTGAGGATGCATAAGAAGTGCACCAACTAGATGCGTTGATGTGCACGATGACAAATGTAAGAGGGCTCCACAATAACCTTGTCTTGCTTTACCCATTTCTCCGTGGACCTGGTAATATCCATTCAAACACTAAGAAATAAAGACAGAATCAGAAATATGGTCATGAACAACAGCAATGTCCAACTAGCCAGGCAGCTAGACAATCAATCCTGGGGTGTAATCATTAGTCGAAACAGTTGCAAAACAAAATGTTTTGCTACTAAAACGAGTTTCTATTGGACAAATTCAGGTAGGACCCGCCCCGTTTCGTTTGAGAAAAGTGTTGCAACAGAATCGGCGTAATGAATACGAACCTGCTTTATTGGCTGAGTAGGAAACTAAGAATTAGTAATGAATAACGAGCTAGCTACATAGCTATCAGTTAACTAGCGATTTCTAACTAGTTACTACATTTTTTGCAATTGTATTTCAAATATGTGGAGAGTAACCGTTAGTATCTAGGCCAACTATATACTTGGTTCGTATCAATCGCCTTTTCGATGGTTTCGTAAGAAAACATGTCGGACAGCAGTAAGCCAGTTGGTGGAGCTAACAAGCTAGTCATCTGCCTGGCTAAACCATAGCTAACTTAGCTAGCTAGCTATATTATAAAACCCTCTGACATCGTTACAACCTAGTTAGCTAACTTTGCTTCTCTGACTTAACAAGGTCGATGATCAGCGCCATGTGTGTGTGTTGTCTGACTAGTATATTATTCCTGTTGTACTACCTACACCGGGTTCACGGGCTCATCAGTTTAACTACCTTAGCTAGCAGGCTAACAACGAGTCTCACTCAGCAGGCACTAAGTGTCTGTGTGTACTAGCTAGCAACTACCAGTGAAAACATTGCACTCCAATCACGTTAGTAGCTACGCTATAACATAAAATCGCATTTCACTATGCAGCCAATATTGGGGCCGTGAGTTGAAGAGTAAAACATAACTATATGCATACAATTATAATTGTACCTCTAGATCGCCGCAATCAATGTGTCAACACAAAGACAATTCACAACTCCTCCTCTTGTTGAATTATATGACCCGCCTCTCACCATCATGCTATTGGGACGTCTGTGAGCTCGTGAACGCAACGATTGGTTATGGATATTGTCAATAATCAAGGAGGGGATTCGATTAATGCCCCGGCTCTACCATTGTGAAGCGGGTTAGCGTTGATAGCATTCGTTTTCGAACCGGGCTGCCTCCCGGGCGTGAGCCAAAATCGACTAAACCAAAGTGACGTAGGTTAAGCACGTAGAGTAATGAGTAGTATTCTGTGGTTTCACATTCAAAAGTGATCGATTTAGATAAAAACGCTTTAACTGCCTTCTCAATGAAAACTAGTTTGAAAATTCGAATATATTTTATGGAAAAGGATGTTGTATGTTTCTGAATAACTCATGATGCTGCCTTGTTGACAGTGATGCCGAGCGGTGCAGATTAAAGTTCGTTTTGAGAACGGCGCTCCTCCCTCAATGCTTTTTCCTGTTCACGTCACGGGCCATACTTCGGTGCACCGCGGATCAGCTTAATCGAACTCTCTCAGTGATGCTGACGGTTACGTTGAACAAAGATCAGTTACATTTTCAGTAGGCTGCTCGTGCATTTATTATTATCATTAATTAAATTAATGATGTAAACTCCCTAGAGAAAGAAACCCACACTATGTGCACACATAGGTCACCAACAAAAACAATGGAGCAAATGCATCCCTTTAGTAGCACTTGACGCTGCTCAAGAAAAAGCATTCCATGAAATCATTAATAAAGTATTATTCAAGCTAGAGGCCAATTGTAAAGTCTGCTGTGAAAACAAAACATCAATAATAGTACTATGTCCTTATTTTTGTCATAACAAGACAGTGTAAGTCATGTGTTACTGTAGTTGAATTCTCACCAAAGAATTAGGCTACATATACAGTGCATTCTGAAAGAATTCAGACCCTTTGACTTTTTCCACATTTTGTTAAGGTACAGCCTTACTCTAAAATTGATTAAATAAAACATTTTCCTCATCAATCTACACACAATACCCCATAATGACAAACTGAAAACAGGTTTTTAGAATTTTTGCTAATGTATTAAAAATTAAAAACAGAAATACCTTATTTACATAAACATAACTATTCAGACCTATTGCTATGAGACTCAAAATTGAGCTCAGGTGCATCCTGTTTCCATTGATCATCCTTGAGGTGTTTCTACAACTTGATTGGAGTCCACCTGTCATAAATTCAATTGATTGGACATGGTATGGAAAGGCACACCTGTCTATGTAAGATCCCACAGTTGACAGTGCATGTCAGAGCAAAATCAAGCCATGAGGTCAAATGAATTGTCCGTAGAGCGCAGAGACAGGATTGTGTCGAGGCACAGATCTGGGGAAGGGTACCAAAACATTTCTGCAACAATGAAGGTCCCCAGAAACACAGTGGCCTCCATCATTCTTAAATGGAAGAAGTTTGGAACCACCAAGACTCTTCCTAGAGCTGGCCGCCCGGCCAAACTGAGCAATCGGGGGAGAAGGGCCTTGGTCAGAGAGGTGCCCAAGAACCCGATGGTCACTCTGACAGAGCTCCAGAGTTCTGTGGAGATGGGAGAACCTTCCAGAAGGACAACCATCTCTGCAGTACTCCACCAATCAGGCCTTTTTGGTAGAGTGGCCAGACGGAAGCCACTCCTCAATAAAAGGCACATAACAGCCCGCTTGGAGTTTGCCAAAAGGCACCTAAAGGACTCTCAGACCATGAGAAACAAGATTCTCTGTTCTGATGAGACCAAGATTGAACTCTTTGGCCTGAATGCCAAGCGTCACGTCTGGAGGAAACCAGGCACCATCCCCACGGTGAAGCATGGTGGTGGCAGCATCATGCTGTGGGGATGTTTTTCAGCGGCAGGGACTGGGAGACTAGTCACGATCGAGGGAAAGATGAACGGAGCAAAGTAGATCCTTGATGAAAACCTGCTCCAGAGTGCTCAGGACCTCAGACTGGGGAGAACGTACACCTTCCAACAGGACAACGACCCTAAGCACACAGCCAAGACAATGCAGGAGTGGCTTCGGGACAAGTCTGTGAATGTCCTTGAGTGGCCCAGCCAGAGCCCGGACTTGAACCTGATCAAACATCTCTGGAGAGACCTGAAAATAGCTTTGCAGCGACGCTCCCCATCCAACCTGACAGAGCTTGAGTGGATCTGCAGAGAAAAATGGGAGGAACTCCCCAAATACAGGTGTGCCAAGCTTGTAGCGTCATACCCAAGAATACTTGAGGCTGTAATCGCTGCCAAAGGTGCTTCAACAAAGTACTGAGTAAAGGGTCTGAATACTTATGTGAATGTGATATTTCAGTTTTATTTTTAATGAATTAGCAAAAATGTCTAAACCTGTTTTTGCTTTCTCATTATAGGGTATTGTGTGTATATTGATAAGAAGAAGAAAAAAAAATCCATTATTGAATAAGGCTGTAATGTAACAAAATGTGGAAAAAGTCAAGGGGTCTGAATACTTCTCCGACGGCACTGTCAGTGTAATGTAATGGAACTTAGAGTCATGATCAAGGGCTAAGAAAGACCTCACAAAGCGGCAGCTTGCTCAAAACAAGAATACCCCACAAGACATGCCACCAGGGGTTTCTTCACAGTCCCCAAGTCCAAAACGAATTCACGGCAACGCACAGTATTATACAGAGCCGTGATCGCATTGGAACTCCCATTTCCAATTACTCAAGCAAACAGCAAATTTACCTTGGGTAAAACAACATATCATGGCACAATAGGGACTGTGAAATGACACATTCATACAAACAGACACACTATCTACACAAACATTATTCTTTAGTTGTATTGTTTGTATATCGTTGTATTTAAAATTTGTGTGACTGTCCTTGTCTATCAGTGTATCAGCGTTTCGTTGCTTGTCGTGTTTTTGTGTGGACTCCAGGAAGAATAGTTGCTGCTTCGGCAAAAGCGAATGGGGCTATGAAACTTATAATTTTTTCCAACTTTGAGTGATCTTCAGTGCAGAAATAAATGCTCTCAGAGGATAATTCACATAACCTATTTTGACGTGTGTACAGCCGTGGTCAAAAGTTTTGAGAATGAAGTATTTGTCTTCACAAAGTTCGCTGCTACAGTGTTATTAAATATTTTTTGTCAGATGTTACTATGGTATACTGAAGTATAATTACAAGCATTCCATAAGTGTCAAAGGCTTTTATTGACAATTACATTTAGTTTATGCAAAGAGTCAATATTTGCAGTGTTGACCCTTCTTTTTCAAGACCTCTGCAATCCGCCCTGTCATGCTGTCAATTAACTTCTGGGCCACATCCTGACTGATGGCAGCCCATTCTTGCGTAATCAATGCTTGGAGTTTGTCAGAATTTGTGGGTTTTTGTTTGTCCACCCGCCTCTTGAGGATTGACCACAAGTCTGG